CGATCCCGCGCGGCGGCGGCGGCCGGGCCGGGCAGCAGGGGGGCAGGGGAGCTGGCGGGGGGTCTGGCGGGGGCTGCCCCCCCTCCGCCCCGCTCCGGACTCACCCGAGAGCCGCAGCGAGACGAAGCTGAGCTGCCCGAGCAGGAGCTGAGCCGCCGCAGCTGCTCGCCAAGCCATCGGGACTACACAAATTTTGGGCTCCGGGAGAAGGAAAAGGAGAAGCTGGACAGGAAATGGAGGCGAGCGGGCGCGGGCTGTTAACGCTTTTGGTGCCTGGCCCGTTAACGCTTTTCGTGCCTGGCTAAGGGAGCTCCGCCGGGCTTCACCCTCGAGGGCATGGGCCGAGGGCCAGAGGGCTCCGGGTCCGCCCCGACGGCGAGAGGCTGCGCTGGGCACGGGCAGGGAGCGGCGCTGCCCCCGCCTCCGCTGCGGGGGGCTCGGGGATGCCCATCCCAGGGCAGGGATGGAGTCACCGCCCCTGGAGGGATTTCAAAGCCGTGTAGATGTGGTGCCGAGGGACATGGGTTAGTGGTGGCCTTAGCAGTGCTGGGTTAATGGTTGGACTGGATGATCTTAAAGGTCTTTTCCAAACAAAACGAATAAATTATTTTACAATTCTCTGCCCCGTGGGCCCCTCAGAGATGCCAGCCTGTGCTCTGATCCTGCTGGCAAGGGCTGGGTGTCCACCTGACACCGTGGGGTGCCTTGGCCTGGCCGTCCCTGGGGGAGCAAACTGGATTGGGCCCGGCCAGCCGGTTGGCAGTGGCACACATCAGTGGGAGGAGCAGGACTGACGATGCTGACAAGGACCAGCCTTGTCACTTAATATGGTGTGAAGGGTGAAGGAACCAGATAGGATTTGTGCAAAGGGGCCGTGGAGGAACTGGGCTGGTGGTGAACCTCTTCCTTCCCCTTGGCCAAGAGAGAGCCCAGCACCCGCTGAGCTGAGCTGAGCTGAGCTGCGCCAAAGCATTGGGAAGCAGGACATGGGAATTATCACAGCTCTGGTGACACAGGCACTGCCTCTTGCCAGTCTGATGATGCTTCTGCTCTGGAGATCCGTGGGTGAGTGGGGGCCACTGACAGACCCAGTGCCTTTGCCTCCCCCACAGGCTGGCAGGGCCAGCCGTGCCCCGGAGCCCTGCTCTCACTGCCCTCCTTCCAGCTTGCTTTTAGCTCCAGCCAAAGAGTTTGGTTTACTGTACCACATGTTGGTGGCCCTGGGTCCTCCGCATCCTGCAGTTTCCAGCAGTGCCAGCTGCCCTGGCCAGGGGGGGGGAGGGATGGGGATGTTTCTCTGTCCCCTGTGCTGGGCTTGGGGTCTGGTGATGCCCTGTGCTGTGCCCTGGTTCTAGGACTCCTCATCAGCCCCTAATCCCCCTGTCACTGTGTCCAGGTGTGGGTGCCCAAAGGAGTCCCACCTTCCAGCTGCAACAACCCCAGAAAGAGGTGTCGGCGAAAGCAGGGGACACCATCACCCTGAACTGCACCACGTCTGGAGTGGGTCCCGCTGGTCCCACGAAGTGGCTGAAGGGCTGGGACAGCGAGAATGAGACCATTTATGACCAGAATAGCCCCCCACCCCGTGTGACAAGGGTAGCACCTGTGTCCAACACAGATTTCAGCATCCACATCAGGGATGTTCGCCCCAAGGATGCTGGCACCTATTACTGCGTCAAGTTCCGCAAAGGACTCACTATGGATGAGGTGTTCCAGCGGGGAAGTGGCACCGAGGTGTCCATACTTGGTGAGTGGGGCTCCCAGAGCAGCTCCCAGGGGGAACCAGCCCAGCCGGGTGCAGCCCCTGGCCCGTCCCAGCCTGGGGGGCTCAGGTGCTGGCCCCAGGTGAGGGTCGCGTGGGTCATCCCCGAGCACATCCCTATCCCCAGAGGAGACCCCGCTCCCTGCAGCCCCAGGGCCGGGCAGGGGTGGCAGAGCCTGGTCTGACAGCCCCACACTTCTCCCCACAGCCGAGCCCACCCACCCGGTGGTGTCCGGGCCCAAGCACAGAGCGGGGCCGGGGCAATCGGTGTCTGTCACCTGCATGGCTGGAGGGTTCTTCCCCAAAGACATCAGCGTGAAGTGGCTCAAGGACAGGGCCCCGATCTCTGCTCAGCAGCCCCAGGTCAGCCCAGAGCAGACAACAACCTCCTACAAGGTGTCCAGCACGGTGACAGTGACGCTGCAGGAGGGCGACGTCCGCTCGCAGCTGGTCTGTGAGGTGCAGCACCGCACGCTGCAGGCCCCGCTGAGGGAGCCCTACCAGCTCAGCAGAGCCCTGCGAGGTGAGGGCTGGGGGGCAGCCACGGGGTGCCCGGCTCCCGTGGGGCTGGGGCTGTGGGGCAGGGCACCTGCAGGCAGCAGGGGACACCAGGCTCCAGGCACTGCCTCTCTTCCCAGTTTCTCCTGGAATCCAAGTGGTCACTGACCCGCGGAGCCCCGTGGAGTTGAACAAGACTGTGAACTTCTCCTGCCACGTGAGGGGGTTTTACCCACCAGAGGTGGCCGTCACCTGGCTGGAGAACGGGACGGAGATGAAGGTGGAGAACACCCCCCAGGTGACAGAGACACGCCAGGGGCTGTTTGACCTGCAGAGCCTGGTGAAGGTGCAAGCCCTGGAGGAGAGGAACGGGTCGGTGTTCACCTGCCGAGTGGTGCACGATGGCCAGGAGCCCGTCAGCAGGATGGCCACCCTGCAGATCACTGCCCCAGCCCAGGGGGAACTAAACGGCCTGTCCCAGGGGGAAAACGGTGGGTGAGAGCTGCTGGGATACAGGATGTTCAGGGCTGGAGGGTGTGATGCCAGCAGGTACTAAGCGGTGTTCAGGCATCACCAGAACAGCCCTAGCTGTAAGGCTGCAGGGGCTTGGTGGATTTGGGGGTTTCCAGGCCTCTGGTGATTTTTTTCATTCGTGTTTCAGGAAGTTTGTTCATCATCTACATCGTGGTGGGAGTGATCTGCACTGTGCTGGCACTGCTGGTGGCTGCAGTTCTTTACCTCATCCGGGCAAAGCAGAGCAAGGGTAAGGAAACCAGGGAAGCAACTGCTCCCCACCCTGTGTTTCCTTCTGTCTTGAGCATCAAGATGCTGAGTTCATGTCTGTGCTGCTGCAGCTCCTGCCCCAAGGTGGGGGCGGAGCAGAGCTGACTGGGCTCTCTGTAGGCTGCAGGAAAAGCTCTGCCTGGTTGCCACTGTGTGCTGATGCCTGCCAGGAGCAGGGTCTAACATGTTTGTTACTCCTTGTACCTAAAATATCTGGCATCCCTCTGCCAGGAACAGTCCTGGGGTGAAACTGCAGCCACTTGTCTCTGGGAGGAGACATGTGTCAACTCTTGCAGCAGTCTCTGCACATGAGCTCGGGTGTCCAGGGAAGTGTGTGTGGGGGGGTTTACCTTATTTCCTGAACTATTTCTTTCCTAAACCTATTTTTCTTCTGGCAGGTAAAAGCTCACCATCTGCAAGGTAAGTGCTGATCTCCTCTAATCACTGAGAAATCTGTGGGCACTCTGAACTGGACACCTCCAGCCTGTGAACAGGGTCCCTTGGGATGGGATTGGTGCTGGATCCCCAAGAACTTGTGCAAGGGAAGGGGGGAGCGCAGGTGCTGACCCTCTCCCTGCAGATCTTGTTCCCAAACATGTGGCTTTTGGTGAGGCTGAACCAGCGGGTGGGAGCTGGGTCTCCAGCCTGCAGGGATGTAGCTGCACAAATGCTCATGGGTGAGGGACTCATCCTGCTCGGGGCTGCAGCAAGGACCTTCTTTTGCAACTGAACACCCCCATCCTCTCTCACTAGGGAAGACGCAACGAGGCACTTGATCTGACTTGTTTTGTTCCCTCTTTCAGGTTACACGAGCCAGAGAAAAGCAGCGAGGCCACTACCCAGGTGTGTTGCTCAGCCCCGGGACACCTCTGTGTCTCCAGGAGAGCACGGTGGTTTCCTGTGAAACATCTTGGTGTCTCCACTGGAGGGTGGTGGTTCCCTTGTGAAACATCTCAGTGTCTCCACACTGTGGCTGGAGAGGGAAGGGAAGCTACTCCAGGAACGGGGGTAGCCACTTCCCAACATCTTTTCTGCCTTGGCCCCCTCTCCTCCTCCCAGGAAGGTCTGGGTTTCTGCTGCCTGCAGAGCCAGTTGTGCAATAGCCAGCCAGGCTATTTGTGGAGTTATTTTGCATTTGGTGATGCAGTTACGAGCACAGTCGTGATCAGCAGCAATCTGTCCATCCCACCCAGCCCCTGCCAGCTCCCGTGTGGGGATTGCTGGGCATCCCTGCCCGTCCCAACCACGATGGGGTGGCTGCAGTGGTGGCTACTGAACCACGGTGGTGGTTCTGAAGCCTGTTGGTGGCAGCAGTGGCTGGTGATTTGAGGGCATAACCTCGCTTGTGGGCTCATCCCAGCCAGTTCCCCTGGTATAAGCAGAGCCTGAGCTGCAGCGGGACCG